CTCCTTGCTTCGATGCTGCTGCTGCTGCTGCTGCTGCTAGCTGCTGCTGCTGCTGCTGCTGCCCACAATCCCAGTTGTACAGCAGAGGGTTAGGGTGTCCTGGCTTTGGGATACTTCCCTCCCCTTGCTGCTGCTGCTGGTGTTGTTGTTGCTGCTGCAGCAGCAGCAGGTTGCCTGCATGCAGCATAGACTGTCCGTTTGGGGTGTATCTGTCCCCATTAAAAAGGAGACACTGGGGGCCCCCCTGTCCCCTTGCTGCTGCTGTCTCCTCATGCTGCAGCAGATCCTGCAGCTCCATCTTTGTGGGCAGCTGCAACTCTGCTGCTCCTGCTTGTCCTGCCTCTACTCCTGCAGACCCTCCTGCTGCTGCACCTCCAGCTGCTCCCCCTGGTGCTCCTGCTGCTGCTCCTGCTGCAGCTGTAGCATCCCCTGGTGCTGAGGTGCTGGGCCCCCCAAGGCCTGCTGCAGGGGTTCCAGCAGCAGCGGCAGCAGCAGCAGCAGCAGACAGCAGCACATCCACGGTAGTGTCATCGCCTTGTGGGGATGAAGAGGAGACACTAGGAAGGACTGAAGGAGGAGACACCCAAGGGGGAGGAAGGGCATCAGGTAAAATATTTGCTGCTGCTGCTGCTGCTGTGTTGCTGTTGGCTGCAGGTCTGCTGCAGTTGATATATGTTGGTGTGTTGCTCCCTTGGCTGCTTTCTGCTCCTTTTAAGGCGCATGCAGCCCCAAGAAATCCTTCTACCTGCTGCGGTGCAGCAGCAGCAGCAGTAGCACCAAGAGGCGGACTCGATGCATCTAGCTGCAGCAGCTGCGCAGTAGAGGAAGGAGCTAAGAAGGAGACATCGCGGTTGTCTCTATAAGGAGCAGCAGCGCAGAGACACTGCAAAAGGAGACACCACAGGAGACACCCAGTCCCATGCATGCATGCATGCATGCATGCATGCATGTATGCATGGGAAGGCACAACAGCAGCAACGTGAGAGGGTGTATGTGCAGTAATAAAGACAGCAGCAGGCATAAGGAAGGAGGGAGGAGAGAAGGTGCAGCGCAGCAGCAGGAGACAGAAGTAGCAGGAGGCAGAAGCAGGAGCAGCAGGAGACAGAAGTAGGAGGCAGCAGCAGGAGCAGCAGGAGACGGCAGCAGCAGGAGACAGCAGCAGCAGGAGACAGCAGCAGCTAAAGTTTACCGTTTTACAGCAGCTCCAACTCCTTCCTGCTGCTGCTGCTGCTGCTGCTGTTGCTGCTCTCCATCCTGTTGGTAGGTTTATAGGGTACTGATTAGCTCCGTGGGGGCCCCCCTCCTCCCTCTGCTGCGTATCCATGTTGCTGCTGCTGCTGCTGTTGCTGCTGCTGCTGCTCCAGGGTACACGCTGCTGCCTCCTGCAGCAGCAGCTGCCCCCTAGGATTGTGTGGCATGCACACATTTGTATCTGGGTGCCATTGTGGTGGTGCTGCAGTTGCTGCTGCTGCTGCTGCTGCTGCTGCAATTGTTGTCCGTGCAGTCCTCGTTCTGGGTGGTTGGTGTCTGTTGCTGCTGCTGCGGCTGCATGCGTGTGGTTATTGCCTGCTGCTGCTGCTGCTGCTGCTGCTGCTTCCTGCATAGCATCATTAGGCTCCTGTTTGCTGCAGTGTTTGCTGCTGCTGTGGAGACAGTTGACAGAAAAGGGGGCAAAAGGAGACACAGGGGACTGCTGGGGGCCCCCCATCAAGGGGGGGCCCCTGCCTATACACTCCCCGTGGGTAGAAGACCCCTTGGTGCTGTTGTTGCTGTTGCTGCTGCTGCTGCTGCATGCGCCTGACTCTGTTAAGCAGCAACAACTTAAATCAGGAGACGAATTAGATATATAAGAGCGATGAGGGCACCTCTGTACCCATATTTCTGGGGGCCCTTCGGGGCCCCCTCTCCTGTTGCTGCAGATGTTGTTGCTGCTGATGCTGTTGCTGCTGCTGCTGCTGCTGCTGCTGCTGCTGCTAGTGGCGGGGAGCAGCAAAGGAGACCCCCCTAACCCGTTAGGGCCCTTGCATGCATTGTGCATGTCATTGCTGCTTAGCTGCGGCGGCGGTGGTGAGGCCTGTTGGTTACCTCCTGCTGCGGCTGCTGCTGGGGGACCATGCTGATGAGGATTTGCTGCTGCTGCTGCACAAGAAGAAGCACATGCATTTGCTAAACACTTGCAGTTGCAGCGGATGCCTAAAGTGTCTCCTGCTGCTGCATGCTTCCTGTCTCTGCTGTCTCCTCCCCCTGCTGCTGCTGCAACTAGCCTAGAGTGTCTCCTGCAGCGGGAGAAGCAGCGGCAAGTTTGTCTAGCGAGTAGACGTCTGCAGCACGTGAAGGGTGGCACTTCATCAGCTGCTGCTGCTGCTGCTGCTGCTGCTGCTGCAGTTCCTTTAATTGTGTCTCCTGCGTCTCCTTTATTAATACTTCTTTGTCTATCATAGTCCCCACGAGTTAGGCAGCAACTGCAGCGGGAAAAGGACGGGGGGCCCCTGAAGAGACACCTGGGGGGTACAGGGAAGCAGGGGCCCCCTAGGGGCCCCTCATGCATAGAGAGACACCTAGTAGAGGAGATAGTACGTGTATGGTGCTGCAGCTGCTGGTGTAGATGGAGTTGCTGCAGTTGCTGCTGCTGCTGCTGCAGCAAGAAGGTAGAAGAATGACGAGGACCTAGACGATAAGCAGCAGAGAGACAAGAAGGGACAAAAGGAGACAAACAACCTGCGGATACACCCGAGAGCAGACACCCCACAGATCGTCTCCCGTATAACGATCCCGTATCCAGCCGCTGCTGCTGCTGCTGCTGCCTCCCTAGTACAGCTGTAGGGCCAAGACAGGGCCCTACACCTTCGCATGCATCTGCTTCTGCTGCTGCTGCTGCTGCTTCTGCTGCTGCTGCTTCGGCTGCTGCTGCTTCGGCTGCTGCTGCTTCGGCTGCTGCAGCAGCTGCTGCTGCCTCCGGTATAGATACCTCGTCGTCGCTGCATGCAAGCAGCAGCTCCGGCGCACTCATGTTAGATGCAGCAGCAGCAGCTGCTGCTGCTGCTGCTGCAACCCCTGCAGGACTAGATGGGCATCCTGTGGGGCCATTGCCATTGCTGCTTCTGCTGTTGCTGCTGCTGCTGCTGCTGCTGCTGTCACCTTCTTTGAAAAAGGCGCAGCAGAGACGCCGCAGTGCAGCAGCAGGAGAACGCATGCAGCAGCAAATCGGGGATTGAGCAGCACTTCTTAATGCTGCTAATTCTCCTGCCTCTAACCCCGTACCTGAGGTGTAGGTACACCCGCCATTGCTGCTGCTGCTGCTGCTGCTGCTGCTGTTGCTGCTGTTGTTGTTGCTGCTGTTGTTGCTGCAACTGCAACTGCTGTTACTCTGTACGTCGGCAGATCCAGACGCAGGCAGACAACGGCTGCAGCAGTTGCTGCTGCTGTTACTGCTGCTGTTGCTGCTGCTGTTGCCGTTGCTGCTGCTGTAGCTGCTGTTGCTGTTGCTGCTGCTGTCTGAGCAGCAAAAGGGACTAAGAGGAGGACCAAGGGAATGGAGACTGCAGAACCCCCAATCATAAGAAGGGAAGACATCAGGTGTCTCCTCTACATCTGCTGCTGGAACCTGCTGCTGCTGCTCCAGCTGCTGCTGCTGTTGCTGCTGTTGCTGCTGTTGGGAGGGAGGCAGCAGCAGATTTTCTGCTGACGGGCAGCAGCTGTGCTGCAGTTTAGAGACACTTTCCTCATCTATAACATTGCCGCTGTCTCCTTGTGGTTTATACGCAGCAGCAGAAGAAGCAACAGGGAGACAGCAGCCAATTAATCCTGCTGCTGTTCCTGCTGCTACTGCTGCTGCTGTTGTTCCTGCTGCTCCTCCGGTTGCTGGCCATGCTGCTGCTGCTGCTGCTGCATCTGGCGGGGTATGTGGGGGCTCATAAGGGCCCTGTGTTGCTGTTGGAGAGTCAGCAGCAGATCCACTATCAGGAGCAGCAGCAGCAGCAGCAGCAGCAGCAGCAAAAGGAGACAGCAACGTGGCGCATAAAGAAGGGACCTCGCTGCTGCTGCTAAAAGGAGACACCTTATGGAGACTTCGCTGTCTTGCTGCTAATAAGCCTGTGCATGCAGAGACACAAGGCAGCAAAGACGCAACTTGCTGCTGCTGCTGCTGCTGCTGCTGTTGCTGTTCTACTGTACAGTGTTTTGCTGCTGTACTGCTGTTGTGCTGGTTTCGTGCTGCTGCTGCTACTGTGCTGCTGCTGCAGTTATACAGCTGCTGTCTCCTTTTATGTGTCTCCTTTTTCTTACGATTGTCTCCTTCTTGTGTCTTCCTTAGCGAAGGAAAATCTGTAGGCCCTTGCAGCTTATTTGGCGGTGCTGCTGCTGCTGCTGCTGCTGTTGCTGCTGATGCTGCTGCTGCAGCAGCAGCAACAGGGGGGAGTTGGTGCTTCGGAGCAGCTGGAAAAATTCGCGGGGGAGACAATTGCTGTTGCTGCTGCTCCTTTTGCTGCTGCTGCTGCTGTTGTTGCTGCTGCAGCGGCTGCATTTTGCAGGTGTAAGGAAGGGCTGGGATAGCCCTAGGGGAGAGAGCAGCAGCAGCAACAGCAGCAGCAGCAGCAGCAGCAGCAGCAGGAGATTGAGGAGAAGCAAAGGAGACAGGAGGACCTTTAAGGGGACCATCCTTATAAGAAGGAGTTAAGGAGACACTATGAAGAGCAGCAGCAGCAGACACAGCAGCAGCAGCAGCATTGGCCGTCATGTGTCTGCTGCTGCTGCTGCTGCTGCTAATGTTGCTGCTGCTGCCGTCTCCGCTGCTGCTGCTGCTGTCTCCGCTGCTGCAGACAGAAGTTTACTCCTGCACCCCACACAACGCATGCATGCATAAATAAATAAATAATTGCGTGCATGCATGCATTTAATTATTTATGCACCTGGTGCTTCCTGCTGCTGCTTCTGCTGCTGCTGTTGCTGCTGCTGCAGCTTACTGCAGCAACATAGAGAAGCTGTCTTCTGCTAGCATACAG